CTTCCCCCCACCCCTCTGCCCTGCTTCCCCCCACCCTCTGCCCTGCTTCCCCCCACCCTCTGCCCTGCTTCCTCACATCCTCTGCCCTCCTTCCCCCCCCTTTCTGCCCTCCTTCCCCCTATGCTATACACAGTTTCCCCAGATCCTCTGCCCTGCGTCCCCCCACTTCCCCCGCTTCCCTCCAACCTCTGCTCTGCTTTCCCCATGCTCTGCTCCCGTTCCCCCCACCCCCCCTGTCCTTCTTCTTCCCCCCCCCCCCCCCCCCCTCTTCGGCACTGCTTCCCCCACCCATCCTTTGCCCTGCTCCCACCACTGAGAGGTGGACAGCACACGCCAGGTGAGTCCAGGGATGAGATGAGGGGAAGGATAGATGAGATCCACGTGGCAGGTGAGGGCGTGGGGGATGAGGGGAGTGAGAGAGATATGGTAGGCGAAGGGTGAGGCAGATTCGCAGATTCTAAGAGCCACGTGCAATTGCAGCTGCATTCGATGTGTTGCCATTCTCCCCCGTATTCTCTTCCCCTGCTCGTGCCTCTCCTCCATACTCTCCCTCTCCATTTGTTCCTCCTCTTCTTCCTTTGCACTTCCTTACCCGCTCCCACCCCTCCTGCTCCTGCCCCACCCCTCCCATATCCCACCTGACAGGAGGTCGACTTAGAAGCCTTGCAGAAGATGGACCACCCTTCTTACCTCCCGCCCTCCTTCCTTACCTCCGCCCTCCTTACCTCCCGCCCTCCTTACCTCCCGCCCTCCTTACCTCCCGCCCTCCTTACCTCCCGCCCTCCTTACCTCCCGCCCTCCTTACCTCCCACCCTCCTTACCTCCCGCCCTCCTTACCTCCCACCCTCCTTACCTCCCGCCCTCCTTACCTCCCACCCTCCTTACCTCCCGCCCTCCTTACCTCCCGTCCTCCTTACCTCCCGCCCTCCTTACCTCCCGCCCTCCTTACCTCCCACCCTCCTTACCTCCCGCCCTCCTTACCTCCCGCCCTCCTTACCTCCCGCCCTCCTTACCTCCTGCTGTGCAATTATCACCCACGTTGCTTCTTATTCCTTCTCGCCGGCCCCCTCTAATTTTTGCCCGCCTGCCCCTCTCCTCTCCTTTCTATCGTCCTCCCACTCGCATTCCTTCCTGCCATGGGCGTGAAAACGAATCATGCATGTCTTGCATTGCAGGGATCTGGGTTTGAGAGTGTACTGATAATGCTGATAAAGTACTGACTATGATCTATCTATCATAATAGTGTATTTCCTTGAGTTCGGGCCCTCGGATCAGCTCGGTTTTGGGCCACGCTTTTTAGAATTACGGTACTGAAAATCCATTAACAAACCCTGACTTTGCCCTCACAAACAAAATCTGTGAACAGCCAGCCGCATTGCCTCTCTGTTCTCTGTTTACTATCTGTGAAACAGAATATGACAATCAGCGTTAACGACGAGCCCGCTTCTTCTTCTTGGCCTCATCCTTGCGGACATCTTTTGTCACAATAACTTTCCCAAAGACATCATTCAGGGCAGAAGTTGACGTCAGTGCAGCTTGGACAAGAGCCAGTGCCTGCAAAAAGAAATTCAGCATACCGTATCAGAGGGCGCTAAAATTCTTTTCAGAAATAAACTGAACCATTTTTTACTTACATGGTCTCTGGTGACTGTTGTCTCGAAGCTCTCCAAATCACTCATGGATTTGACGCCCAACTTGTTCAGAAGATGAATGCTCTTGATGGTTGAACTGGGGAAGAACTCAAGGTCGTCAGTGACCATGAACGTGACAGCATCCTTAACAAACCCTCCTGACATCTGAGCACCACCTCCGCTACCAACCACGGTGAGAACAGTGTTCATGTAGGAACTACAGTCAGGGCAGCGGAAGTTGTATACGTTTCCCACTCTGTGAAGATTACCACACGTGTATAAGGTCTGTGAGCTATCCACAGCCCCACCTCGACAAAGCTTCAACTCTCTGGACATGGGCTCCTCACAGCCGGGACAACTCGTTCCTGACATCAATGACACAGACCACTCACATGAGCCGGTGCCGCAAGTAAAGTACCCTTTCTTCCCCGGTCGACCAAGGAGACACAGCTGAGAAGACCCTTCCAATGGTGAGGGGTTCAAAATTTTGTCCTTATCCACTTTCATGTACGACTCATCAATCTTGTCTGCACTGGAGAAAATGTTCAGGATCCCGAGTCGCCCTTTGATACGAATTCCGCTTTCCATGAGAAGCTTGAGCAAGTTGGCCGTGGGCATTCGAAGAAGAGACATCAAGAGATCGATGAAATCCTTCCCAGCCTCAAGGTACAATATTTTATTGCTTTCCTGAAAACATGCACACGCTTTAAGAATGGCGGTCATTCCAGAACGGAAGCTTGGAACCAATCGTGCACTAGCTATTTTTTGCGGATCTCACCTTCCTGAAGAGGACATTAACTTTCATCGCGGCTCGTTTTGAATCCGCCATGGTTATAGACGTTGAAAAGCCGCCAGATTGGTCCTTCAACGTCGATTACGGAAATTTGCGTTCTGTATTAGGGTCAAATGTATCTGCTGCATGGCCTTCCCGGTCCTAACTATAGCATGCACGGTAACCGGAAATGCAATCAGATTCAAGAGGCCCCCGTCCACGCCAGGGCTGAAGTTGACGTTGGGCTCCGGAGTTAGGGTTTCGATTTGTGCGTATTGGTCGCACGTATTCGCTGCGAATTTGCGTGCGACGAGATTCTTGGCATCCACTGCACCGCTCCCCTGGGTGAGCGGACTGTCTCATGGCTGATCCCGCCATGTGCTGGTGGGAAACTGCTACCCAGTCATCAGTCCGAGCATCTCTGCCTATGTGCTGCTGTGCAAGCCATCGGAAGGTAATCAGAGCAAGTCACAAATGTACTGTATTGGACGGTCGAAGCCCATCAGAATGTGAGAAAAGAAGGGCCATTTTCAGGTGCGATCCACACTTGCCAGAAAATCAACTCATGTGCGATCCATGTTATTTTGCAGGTACGAACAATCGACTCTGTTTTTAATCTTTCTGTCTATAAGCTTCTGGTTTCCGTAATCCGATTCAAAATTACACAAACAGTCGGAATCAGAAGCGATTTCGAACCACGCCAAGAAAAAAATCGAATGGTCACATCATTTTGGCACAATTTCGACGACGAATTCTGCTTCGCACTAGAATTTCATGAAAGAACAATTATGCCGTATCAGCTGTATTGTTGAGACACACGACGGACGCTGCGCAGGACAAAAAAACATTCCCTTCATGGGCGTGCACCACGAAACACGAGAAAAGTGCCTGGGTAATAATATAATTTACCCTTACCGTAAAATTTACCCCGCTGGTTTTTTCTCGCACTAGACGACGCTACATTAAAAGAAACCATAAAGACACTGTAAGCATTTTCGGGAAGAATCAACCCTAAAATCCTTCCTCCCGTGTTTAGGGCGTGGGCCCAAACGGGTTTGATCGCCTAGATCAGCAACGATCAATAATTTCCAGGAAGCCTGGAAGCCAAATTCAGGCAATCAGGGGCAATCAGCTGATCGCGATCAGCTGATCGCCCAACCTAGATCAGACCCGATTTTCACCCCGATCAGAGTCGATTTTCCTCGATCACAGGCAATCAATTGATTGCTTGTGATCGGGGCACCTAGCGACGCTTGCGAGTAGTTACACTGTTGCATTTACAGTGAAACGAATATTTTCGCCAGGTGAATCCTGGTCGTCAAACTCGCTAAAATGGTGACAAAAATGCCACGCAAATGCATCGCGCTTGCTGAGCAGGCGCTGACAGCCTTCTCCAAAAATCATTGCTGATCGGGCGGCTCGGGCACTACGATCACAAGCAACCCGATCAGATCCAACCCGATCAGATCAGTCGCGATCAAACCCGTTTGGGCCCACGCCCTTAGGGTTGATCGCTCCCGAGAACATTTCAGGTTCTTTAGGGGTTATATATATATATATATATATATATATATATATATATATATATATATATATATATATATATATATATATATATATATATATATATATATATATATATATATATATATATATATATATATATATATATATATATATATATATATATATATATATATATATATATATACCATATATATATATATATTTTTAATGGCAGCGTCGTGTACTGCGAAAAAAAATACAGCTGGTTATTTTAAAGTGAGGGTAAACTTCATTATCACCCAGACAGTTTCTCGAATTTTGGGGTGCACGCCCAAGAAGGGAATGCTGAAATGGCCTGCACAGTATCCGTCACCTGTGTCAACAGTACAGTTGATCCGGCATAAGAAATCTTTTACAAAATTTCTTAGTGCGAAGCAGAATTAGTCGTCGAAATTGTGCCAAAATGATGTGACCATTCGAATTTTTCTTGGCGTGATTCGAAATCGCTTCTGATTCCGACTGTTTGTGTAATTTTTAATCGGATCTCGGAAACAAAAGAGCTTATAGACAGAAAGATTACAAACAGTTTCGGCTGTTCGTACCTGCAAAATAACATGGATCGCACATGAGTTAATTTTCTGGCGAGTGTGGGTCGCACCTGAAAATGGCCCAGAAAAGAATCAGGGTATTTTCGGTTTCGGGTCCACCCGTCCAATTTCGCGCATCCTTGAACCGGGGAACCCTCACAGAGAGTCATAAAACGTAATATTTGGCACATGATCTTTTGCTCATCCTTGGTTTGCGAGAATTTTGCGATATTCAGGATCGACAGGGTAAGTTGCGGTTCCAAAATTGTGGTGTGACGGAATTTGTCCTGGTTTGTGTCGCCCACGCTTGAGTGCGCTTTGGGTTTGTGGGTGCTTCGTTTGTAAGCGCTATTCAATGGGCATGCATATTGCGAGGCTTGATATAACTGTTATTAGTTTGATCTACAAGGATAAAATTGATTCGCAAGGATTTCGACAAGGCAAACCTTGTTACTCTAACGTAACAAACAAAAATTAATAAAAGCGTCGATGCGTTGAATGTGTCTAGTTGAGTGCGAGCAGCTTCTGGGCAAAGAGCCGCTTGGTGATCCAGAAGACGAGCAGCTCAGGCGTGACTTTGCGCTCGTCAATGATGAAGGGCTCCACTGTGCTGGGGGGATTGCCGTACGAGGTGAGGGAGAAGCCACGCGCGCCTGGAAGGACAGAAGGGTGTAAGACGAGGAAGGAGGTGAGAGTGGATGGTGAGGAGGTGAGGATGGGTGTGAACCAGAAGCTCCGGCGTGACTCTGCGCTCATCAATATTGAAGGGCTCCACTGTGCTGGGTGGATTACTGTACGACGTGAGGGAGAAGCCACACGAGCCTGGAAGCACAATGACTGTGGGGAGTGCACGGCAAGCAAAGGGGTGAGATTGAAGTGCAGCTGAGAGGAGAATGACACTGGGGGGTGCGCTATATGACGTGAAGGAGAAAAGAGGAAGACAAGGAACTACAGGAAGCAGGTCTGGAAAATGGGATGCCATTCTTGATGAGGGAATAGGTGTGAGTGTGCTGAGTTCGGAGTTTCCCGTGTATGCCTAGAACAGTGTGTGGGGGTGGGGTGAGAAGGTGGTTACCATTGAGAGCAACATCTGGGAAGTAGGCCCGGAAGTTGATGATGATGTCGTTCTTGATGGGGAATGTTTGCGTTATTGTGAGATGGTTACACATGTGGCTACAACAAACAGGGTGTGGTGGTGGGTTACCATCAAGTGCGCCGTCAGGGAAGTAGGCCCAGAAGTTGATGGGGATTTCGTTCTTGATGAAGCTGCCACACAGCTGCCATGGGCGACGAGGGAGCAATGTGAAGGACAGGGGAGGTATGAGAGAAGGGAGTGAGAAAAAGGTTGGATTGATGCGGAGCATGCAGAGCTGAAGTGATTCATGGGAGCTGAGATCATAGACGTGAAAAAAAGCATCACAGTTGTATAATTAATGACAATGACAACCATCCACTCCAGTCCACGCAGTCATCCCTTCCCCCATGCTAGCCCTTCCCCCTCCTCTCTCCTTCCCCATATCAGTTTCCCTTCACTTCTCTCTCTCTCTCCCTTCCCCTTCCTCCTTCCCTCCCTCCCAGCACCCCTCCTCCCCTCCCCTTCCCCCCTCCCTCTCCCACCCCCCTCTCCTGCACGCACCACATTGTCGGTGAAGTTGATCTCCACGTTCCGCACGCCCTCCTCCTTGCCCAGCGCGGCCAGCAGCGCGGGAATCACGTCTTCACTCATCGCCAGCCCGATGGCCTTCGCCACCACCTTCTTGCCCACCGCCTTCCCCACTGCCTTCCCCACCACCTTCTTCCCCGCTGGCGCCCCCTCTGCCTTGGGCGCCGGGGCAGCAGCAGCTGGGGCAGCGGCAGGGGCGGCGGGTGCTTCTGGCGCAGGCTCGGGCTTGTTCTTGTTGGGATCTGCAGGGGAAAACCGGAGAGGGAAGGGAGGGGGAAGGGGGGGGGGGAACAGAGTAGGGAGGGGGGAAAGGGAATGTTGAGGGCTTGTCTCACTACTTTCTTCCCTGCAGCAGAGGCAGGGGCGGGGGGGGCTGCTCCTGGTGCAGGCTCAGGCTTGTTCTTGTTGGGATCTGCAGGGGAAAACTAAGGGGGGGAAGGGGGGGGGGGGGTTAGAGGGTAAGGGGAAACAGGGTAGGGAGGGGGGAGACGGGAATGTTTAGGGCTTGACTCACAACCTTCTTGCCCACCTCCTTTCCCCACTGCCTTTCCCACCACCTTCTTTCCCACTGGTGTTCCCTCTGCCTTGGGCGCCAGGGCAGCAGCAGCGGCAGGGGGGGCTGTTTCTGGTGCAGGCTCGGGCTTGTTCCTGTTGGGATCTGCAGGGGACGGGACGGGAAAGAGGGTGAGAAGGGGCAGGAGTGAAGGTAGCGACCTTTCATCCAAGGCACCTGCGATAGATAGATACACACTGACCGACCTTGGTGACGTGACGAGCGAGGGGGCTGGTGAAACGAGTGCGGGCGGCACCAGACCAGCCAGACCAGACATGGTGGCGTCACCAACAACAAGTGGTGTGGCGTGCTTCTCCTTTCGTGCTCATTTCTTTCCTGTGCTTCTTGATTCCAGATGCACGTGCACAATGCAATGCACAGCAAAACGTGCACTGCACTGCACTGACCTCCGACCGACGACAAGCGAGTTGTTGATGAGAATGCATTGGCAGTGGCGCGCGCGAGATGTTCTTATTAGGACTCTCCATACGCTAGCCGAGAGAGCGCACCTTCAATCACGAGTGTGTTGTTGAAGCCCCCAGCGCCATTGGAGATGGTGGCATCAGCAGGCGAGCCAGCCACAGGCCGGCCAGTAATGTGGCACATCACATGGGATCGTAGCAGCAAGTACACTGGGAAGCACAGCGCACCTTCAATCACGAGCGTGTTGTTAAAGCCGCCAGCGCCATCAGAGATGGTGGCATCGGCTCGGCAGGCGAGGTGTTTGTACCATGACTGGTACAAGCTGAGCCCACCTTGAGGGGCGCGGCGGCACTGACCTTACATCACGAGCGTGTTGTTAAAGCCCCCAGCGCAATCAGAGATGGTGGCATCGGCAGGCGAGATGTTCTGGTACAAGCTGAGCCCACCTTATGGGACTGACTGACCTTCAATGACGAGCGTGTTATTGAAGCCCCCAGCGCCGTCGGAGATGGTGGCATCAGCGGGCGAGTGCTGCCACACGCCATCCACTATGAACTTGTACGCGTACCGCCCGGGCGGCAGCTTCTGTTGTTTTGTGGTCATCGAGCATTGGTGGGGGGAGGGGGAATATGTAGAGAGATGGGACAAAGGGGGAGAGAGAGGAGGGTTGTGGCAGATGAAGCGAGAGATTGGTGATGCGGCATTGGTGGGACGGGAGGGAGAAGATGGGAAAAAGGAGGAAAGGCAAGCAAAGCAAGGCAAGGCCTCGTCAAAGCTCCCCTCCGCATGGGCGTGTGAGAAGCGGGTCTCCCCTCCTTCCATCAAGGCTCCCCTCCTTCCATCAAAGCTCCCCTCCTTCCATCAAAGCTCCCCTCCTTCCATCAAAGCTCCCCTCCTTCCATCAAAGCTCCCCTCCTTCCATGCTTCCCATACAAGCTATTCTGACAGCTCCGCCTCCCTCCCACTCTCTATCCGTCCCTCCCATCTCATTCCCGTGCTGTTGCTCGTCTGGTTTCACACTCGTCGCGTAATCTCGCGCGAAAGACTGAAGCTTATCGGAACACAGGCTAACTTGACTCCATGTCGCTTCTTTTCACAGCCTCGTTAGAACGTGATGCGAAGCGCGCACAGCCCGCCGGCCGAGTCTCGAGCGCCGCCTCTCGTCTCGTCTCGTCTCGCCGCGCCTCGTCTCGTCTCGTCTCGTCTCGTCTCGTCTCGTCTCGTCTCGTCTCGTCTCGTCTCGTCTCGTCTCGTCTCGTCTCGTCTCGTCTCGTCTCGTCTCGTCTCGTCTCGTCTCGTCTCGTCTCGTCTCGTCTCGTCTCGTCTCGTCTCGTCTCGTCTCGTCTCGTCTCGTCTCGTCTCGTCTCGTCTCGTCTCGTCTCGTCTCGTCGCGTATCGACGCAGCATGCATGGGATCCGCCTCCTCCTCCGCACTCGAAATGCCTTTCTACATCGGCTAAATTTGAGTGACATTTGAGAGTTCCCATAAGAGACACAGGAACCGCCTCGGCACGAGGTGAATTTTGGGTCAACTCAAAAGTCAACACAGGAACCGCCTAAGCGCGCACTCGAACTGGTACATCCGTTCATCTTCGGCGCAAGGAAGGCTGCGACGGAAGGCCTCGGATGGATGCAGGGGCGCACGGCGCAGGGGAGCAGCGCAGCAGGGAGGGCCGGGGCAGGCAGGCACGAGCGGAATGGGGAGAGCCGCGTATTCGATGCGCCTGCTTCTCGGCGCGCAGCGCATCTGCTTTGAAGCGCCATCACACTACGGACCGTCGCGCGGAGAACGAAGCGCGCGCGCGGGGGGCGACGATGTTAGTTGTCGCGCGGAGCGGGAGGTGCGCAGAGTAGAGGCAACGAGGCGCGGGCGCGGGGGGGGGGGGGGGTGGGGCGTGCATTACCCTGGAGCGCAGAGAATGATACGCGCCGAGGAAGAAGCGGTACCTGGCGCGCGGAGAAGGTGCCGTTGGGCAGCTTGACGAGCGGGATCTTGACCTCCCAGTTGAGGAAGTCGCCCGTTAGAAGCACCTCCGACCCCGGCCCGCTCCACGAAAACGACACGTCCTCCGACGCCGCTGGGGGAGGGGAGGGGAGGGGAGGGGAGGGGAGGGGAGGGGAGGGTTGGGATGGGAGGGTGGACAGGGTAAAAGCGTTGCAATGGTACGGACTGGGTAAATAATGGGAAGCACCTCCGACCCCGGCCCGCTCCACGAAAACGACACGTCCTCCGACGCCGCTGCCAGGGAGGGGGAAGGTGGAAGCGACGAATGGGAACGAATAGAAAAAAACTCCAACGAAAACGTCCCTCCGACGCTGGAGGGGGGGTGGGAGAGGATGGGGAGCGTTGGGAAGGGAGAGGGGCGAGAGGGATGGAGGGCGAAGCGACCAACGGAAACAAGAAGACACCCCGACAGCGGCCCGCTCCACGAAATCGGCACGCCCTGGGGGAAGGCAGGGAGGAGGAGGAGGGGACGATGAGAAGTGGGGGTGGGAGAGTGGGGACGGGGAAGAACAGGAAGGGAAGTTGGGGGAGGGTGGGCAGGGGCGAAAAAGGAGGCAGTAGGAAGGACAGAGTGAGAAGGAGGCACCCCCGCCCGCATCCCGCTGCACGAAAACGTCACGCCCGCCGACGCCGCTGCGGAAGGAGAGAGAGAAAAAAAATGTGGGTCTGCTCGACATAAAAATGTGGCGCCCCAACGCTGCATTTTATAAACGACTCAGAAGTCGTCACCGCTGCACACGGGGAATGGGATTGATGGGGCGGGTGGGTAGGGGAAGGCGAGGGAGGCGAGGGGAGGGGAATGGAGGGGGGCATGCGGGGAAGGGTCAGGGGAATGAGAAGCTACCAGGTCCTTGCATGTGAACTTCGCGTCGCGAGAAGAAAATGGGACCTTCGGAGGGAGCGGAGGGAGAGGGAGGAGGGGGCTGATCATGGCAGCGGTGATTAGGAGCAGAGGAAAACGGGAACAATGCTAGGTGACCGCACTAGCATATTTTCACATGTTGGAAGAAACTTCAAAGGAAGGAAAGTTAAGCAAAGAAAGAACTATCGAAGAAAGCCCTGATAAACAAAGAATGCTGCAAAAATTTCCTCCGCGCGGCCTCACTCACAGGCCCCGCAAGGCAGTCGAATCAAAACAGAATCATTCCCATTCTCATTCACTCTTTACTCGCTCACTCATTCACTCATTCACCCATTCGATCACTCACTCACCAGCGGGGTTCCCTTCCGCTGCGAACACTCTGAACGTCGCCCGCCTCGTCGCTGGCGCCACGTGGCATTTGCTTCGCAGTTGCTGCATCGCACCCCCCTGCTTCCACGTCAATGTGTGTCTGAAAGCGGCGGCAGCGGCCGGCGAGGAGGCGGCCTGCCGAGTGTCAGCGCGCGCTGCGGTGGTGCATGCTGACGTGGCCGCGACGGCGGCATTGGAAGCAATGGCGGCCATGGCAACGCTTCTCGAGTCGCCTTTAGATCGCTATGTTAGGTGTCAGGCGGAGGACAAGGCCGCTCGAGCGCGTCGGACACTGCGTCCCTGTGGGATTAGGAGAGAGGAAATCAGATGAGCGATCGGACTAACGGGTGCGCGAAGTGAGGAGTACGGGTGAAATGCGGCAGCGACGGATCAACCTTAGAAAGAGATGACGGCACCACGCGTCGCACTGACAGCAAACAAATGCCACGAGGAGCGTACCTTGATTCCTAAGAAGGATGAAACCGTTGGACGTTCTTAGATGAGCGTGGATAGCAAGAATTTTCTGGCCACGGTGAGGCGAGGAGGAAACAGAACCACTAGTCTCCAGCAAAGTCTTGCATGGATACATGCAATAGTAGAACGGTTTGTAACATTTTGGCTTGGTTTAGTTTGGTTTAAATTGATGACTTGTGGTTGCTGGCTAGTGGTGGTTGTTGCGGGCCATATCAGCACTGGTGGCTCCAGTGCCACGTCAGCATTCTCCAATCTCAAAGCCCGCCACAAGATCATTCCGGGGATTGAAGCAGGGCGAGAATGTGGCCAAGGGATTTCTGCTGCACCTTCAATGTGGCCAAGGGATTTCTGTTTTTGGGTTGCGTAACAACCCTAAATATTTGGTTTCACGTTTTGAGGACATCATTTAGAGTGTTTTGAGAAGCATTTTTCCAGCGAATGCCCAAAAAATAACTAAAAAACACTCTTGAATAAACGTCTCTCAAAACAGGACACTTGTTGAGATGAAGTATATAAAAATACATTCCAGTATGCAACAGGAGCAGATTCTATCGAGTACGAAGGCGATGAGTCAGAAGAGTCGAAACGACATCAACAATCGTCAGATCTAGACCAATGCAAGCACAAGCATTTGTCATAATATTGTGCTGTGTAGGTTGTAGTGGGGTAGCCCGTATGGGGTGGGGTACAACCCAATTAGAGTTAGTACTTGTACCAACTTTTTCATAGTTCAATCATTCTCCTATTAGATCCTGATATGGTTTCAGAGCAGGTCCTGTTCCAAGACCGTCGTCGTTAGGGCCCACCCGATCGTTCCCTGCCTGCGTCGCGCTGCCCGCGCACGCCCTGCCCTGCGTCGCGCCGCCCCGCGCACGCCCAGCCTGCGTCGCGCAGCGCGCGTACGCCCTACCCCGCGTCGCGTTGCTTGCGCCCACCTTCCCCTTCGTCGTGTCGCCTGCACGCGCCCTGCCCTGCGTCGCGCCACGCGCGCGGCCCTGCTGGCCGCGCGCTGCCCGTTTTTGGCCCGCGCACTGCCCTACCAGCCGCGCGCCGCCCCTGCCTGCCCGCCCGCTGCCCTGTGCGGCCCCGCGCGCCGCCTCGCTTGCCGCGCGCCGCTCCTGCTTGCCTTCGCGCCCCCTTTGCCTGCCCGCGCGCCGCCCTTTACAGCCCGCGCACTACCATTCTGCCTGCGCGCCACTTTGCCTTGCCTACGCACTGCCCTGCCTTGCCTACGCACTGCCCTGCCCTGCCCTACGCGCCACCCTGCTCTGCTAGCTATGGCTACTCTCAGTGTTCTCAAGTTCGAACGGAACCGCTCGCGGAGCTGGAGACGGACAGCGCGGATCCAAGGGATCAAGACATCAGGGACCTCCCCCTTGCGCCGTGGTGTAACACGAGTAGTCGTCAACAACCAGCAGAAAGTACCGCTCGCGGCCCTGTCCAGTGACGCGGGCTGGGCCCCACACGTCCATGTGGAGAGTCTGCAGGGGAGCAGTCGTCGGGGGAAACGAGGAGCCTGGGGTTGCTGAGTCTAGGGGTGCTGCGTCTCCTGGAGACCCTACGGGTGCCTCGCCGGAGGGGTCTAGCCGTCAGGAGCCTCTCTCACCACAACAGCTTTGCGAGTGGTTTGCTCGGCACACCCGCCTTTGGAGTGGCGCTGTTGGAGCTAGACACGCTAGAGCTAGAGGCGCTGGAGCTGGGGGCGTTGGCGTTGGAGGAACTGGAGCTGGAGGCGCTGGAGCTGGAGGTGCTGGAGCTGGAGGCGCTGGAGCTGGAGGCGCTGGAGCTGGAGGCACTGGCGCTGGAGGCACTGGAGCTGGAGGCGCTGGAGCTGGAGGCGCTGGAGGTGGAGGCGTTGGCGCTAGAGGCTCTGGAGCTGGAGGCATTAGAGCTGGAGGTGCTGGAGCAAGAGGTGCTGGAGCTGGAGGCCCTGGAGCTGGAGGTACTTGTGCTGGTGGCATTGTGCAGCAGCGACCATTTTTCTTGCCGCCGCCACAGTTGTCCTCGCTACCGCCTGAGTCGGTGCTCCGTCAGGTTCTTAGTCTTCCTTCATCCACTGCCCTTCCTCCGGACTCACCGCTGCCTGCCCCCCCTCGTTACACTGAGCAGCCAGCCTCCCTTACAGAGCGTCGTGAGCCTGCGTCTCGTCCTGCCTCCCCTGTTCGCACTGTTCGCCGTGCTCGTCGTGTCCCTTGTCCGCGTCCTCCTCCTGTGCCAGGTACTCACACTATGACACTTCGTCCTTCCTCTGTTCCACAGCGTGTCCCTCTGCCGTCTCCTCTTGCGTCCTCTCTTCCTGACGTTCCGGACCCTGAGTCTGACTTGGTTCGTGCTGCCAGCCCCACTGTCACGCGTCTCCTGCCCACGGTCAGTCGTCACTGACCCGTCGTTTGAGTCTATTGCTGCGTCTGCCTTAGTTGCTGAGCTTGTGGACTTTGTTGCTGCGTGTCGTCTAGACTACGCAACTAGTGTTGTCGCTGAGTCTGAGTCTGTCTGTCCTCCGTCCGTCGGGGGTGAGTGTGCTCTTGGCACGGACGTCTTTGAGGACAGGCAGGAGGACTTTGAGTGTCTTGCGGCTGCTGTACCTCATCTCGTTGCCTGGCTGCTTGCATCTGAGGGAGACCCGGATGCCCTGGACATCCTGACCCCGCGCTATTACGTAGAGGCGATTACAGGTCCCTACTCCTCTCAGTGGCAGACAACCATGGACGCAGAGATGGCATCCTGGAAGTCCACAGGCACTTACGTTGACGCAGTTCCCCCTCCTGGGGCGAACATAGTTGATGGCATGTGGATTTTCAGGGTGAAGCAGCCGCCGGGTTCTCCGCCTGTTTTCAAGGCTCGTTACGTTGCTCGAGGCTTCAGTCAGCGACAGGGAGTTGACTTCTTCCAGACCTTCTCCCCTACCCCAAAGATGACCACTCTTCGGGTGCTGCTGCACGTTGCCGCTCAGCGTGACTACGAGCTTCACTTTCTTGACTTCAGTACAACTATCTTACAGGGCAGCCTGCACGAGGAGATCTAGCTGCGCCGCCCACCTGGCTTTACTGGGTCGTTTCCTGAAGGTACCCAGTGGAGCCACTTTTCGGTCTCCGCCAAGCGCCTCGTGAGTGGCACGACACACTGAGGACTACACTTGCGGCTCTTGGGTTTGCTCCTTCTACTGCCGACCCGTCGCTGTTTCTGCGCACCGACACTTCGCTGTCGCCGTTCTACATCCTCGTGTACGTCGATGACTTGGTCTTTGCCACTGCTGACACTGAGGCACAGGCCCTTGTGAATTCGGAGCTGCAGAAGAGACACACGTGTACAGACCTGGGTGAGCTGCGCAGTTATCTTGGCTTGCAGATCACCCGGGACAGAGCACGGCACACCATCACCCTGACTCAGTCACACATGGTGCTGCAGGTCCTTCAGCGCTTCGGCTTCCAGTTCTCCTCGCCACAGTCCACTCCTCTGCCTACCGGTCACTCGCTCTCAGCTCCACCTTCGAACGAGTCCGTAGAGCCGAGTGGCTCGTATCCAGAGCTTGTGGGCTGCCTCATGTACCTGATGACCTGCACTCGACCTGACCTTGCATACCCTCTTAGCATCCTGGCTCGCTACGTTGCGCCCGGGAGACACCGACGAGAGCACTGGGAGGCCGCTAAGAGGGTCTTGCGCTATTTGTGCAGTACATCAGGCATGGGGCTTGTGCTTGGAGGACAGGGTCGAGTTGTCCTCACAGGACACTCAGACGCCTCGTGGGTTGACGACCTGGCTACGCAGCGGTCGTCACAAGGTTACACCTTCAGCCTTGGCTCCGGCTCTGTTTCTTGGCATTCTACTCGCTCGTCTTCTGTTCTCAGCTCCTGTTGTGAGGCTGAGATCTACGCAGGAGCCATGGCTGCACAGGAGCTACGCTGGCTCACCTACCTACTGACCGACTTGGGAGAGCGGCCTAGTTCTCCTCCAGTTCTGTACGTAGACAACAAGGCCGCTATCGCCTTGTGTCAGGAGCACAGACTGGAGCACAAAACGAAGCACATCGCTCTGCGTTACTTCCTTGCTCGAGAGTTGCAGCAGCGCGGTCAGCTTCGTCTTGCTTACGTGGCCACCCGGGCCAACACAGCTGATATATTCACCAAGGCACTTCCGCCTGGTGATCATCAGCGTTTCTGTACTGCTTTAGGCCTCGTGCCTACGTTTTCTCACTTACTTACTGCGTGACTTTGCTTATACTGTGACCTATATATACCTGCATGCTTACACTTGCTAGGTAGTGATCACTGTACTGTTTGCTCTGTTTTATATAACTCTGCATGTGAACTGGCCTTGTGGCCATTTGCTTGTGCTCGGTGTATGTGGTGACTTCGTGATCCACCCTGAGCTTGCTTTGCTTTTCTGTGACTGCTTGTACTCCCCCACTTTGCCTATGGGGGTGTGTCAGAATATTGTGCTGTGTAGGCTGTAGTGGGGTAGCCTGTATGGGGTACAACCCAATTAGGGTTAGTACTTGTTCCAAACTCTTTCATAGTTCATTCATTCTCCTGCTAGATTTTGACATCATTTGTATTGAAATTGGTGGGAACATGTTTGAAAGATTCCTGTGCCGCACGGTTGAGTTTCGCTGCAATAAGGGAATGTACCCTTTAGATTACATGGCTAGTTGGGACTTTTTTGCATTCCTTTGTATTTCTATGTAAACCAATGTATGCATCTGCTATAACCACTTCAGTCATTTACATTCACTTTGAACTGAAGTCACTACTCCCGCTGCAATATCTCTGCGATCAACTCTGAGCCGATCCTTGATTAAGTCCCTCTTGGATTGTAACATGGCATAAGAGCTACGCAAGGATTCTTTGCACACACATTTCCAAAGATCTGTAAGACCCAAAACTGGCGAGTAGCGCACGCTCCCAAGTCGAGATAACCGGAGGATCCGTAGGACAAACAATTCTAACGGCTAAAGCTCAGCCCAACCCTGCTGCGACATCAGAGGCGACAACTATGATCAGCTCTGCCGTCCTCGAGCTGCTACTTTAATGATTGTCGACCCTGGAGCAAGGACTCAAAACATTGTGGAATGGCGACGCGGGAATCTCCTCCCAACCTATGCAACCCACACAACCGGTGACGACTGACCGTGGAACCGCCCCGCATACCTTCTCCAACAATTCAACACCAACTGCCCCCTGTCCAAGTGACGAAGCTATCAATTCTGTGCAGACACGCTTCATGAACATCTCCAAAATCAAGACAAGTATAGTCTTTGATGGGAAGGACTTTTACAC